AGTTGCTGGTGTTTTTATGCCATTTTTGTCAAGAAAAATCACTTGAATAATATTTAGTATTATATTTAGGTTCACACTAGAAATATTTTATATTTAATTTTCACTATTTATAATTTTTGATTTTTTTTTTACATTTTGAAAAAAACGTTTTGAACATATTTTCCCAAAGATCTCCGCTATTCTGAGACCCTCACAGTATTCCAGTCCCTTTTCAAAACTCATCTCTTCTCCTCTTGCCTACTCATAGCCCACCCCCCATCAATCCATGCCGGTTGATCAAGTTTGATAGTCCTATACCCCCCACCCTAACCTTCCCTTATATTGTAAAGCCATTTTAAGTCCTTGAAAAGCCCTATACAAATATAATGTATTATTATTTATTATGATTATACTGACAGGTTTCAGATCTTGCTGTGTGAAATAATCTTCCTGAGAGGTGTCACTTGTGATGTAGTCTGTGTGGTCCACAGTGAATGTATTCCTGACAGCAACAGGTGATAAGAATCAAAGGATCCCATAGGAAATGCATGCGGGTGATTTTTGACCCACTTATGGAAGCTTGGGGTAGAAATACAAAAACTACAATTTCTTAAAATTTAAATTTAAAATTTGAATGGCATGATATCCAAAACATGTTTTTTGACAAATAGCTGGAACATGAAATGATAAAAAAAATGTAATTACAAAGATACTTCAAGAAAACCAGGTCCAAAAAGACCCACTTGTGCGTCTCAGGGTTAAGGGCGTGTGAAATGAGTGTATTCTGTGTTTATGGCAGTAAACGTGTGAGGAAGTACCCTCTTCTGCAGTTTGGCGTGTTGTAATTCTAAATGCTGCTTCTCCCTGACTGCAGACAATGTTGCGTTCCCACCTTGATCAATTAAACAGGAAAGTACAGCATATCAGTAAGGAAGCAGGTGACTGAGCAGCACACGACACATAAGAATGATGTTGTGCAAAAAGCTGATTTGCATGGAGTGCACTTGTTTACCCAGCTTCTCTGAGACGGGCTGCACAGGTTTGGGCTTATTTTCCTCTTTCCACTTCTGGAGGTCCTCCAGTTCTTTCTGAGCCACTGCAGATAACACAGAGCTTTGTTACTTAGGAAATACATTTCAACATCTAGGAACATTATTTGGTGTTTGAAGGATGCAATGTCGGCATACTCATTTGAGTCTTGCTTCGTCGGGATTCATTGGGCGGGATCATCGTAAACCCAACTGAGCTGAGGATGGAGACAGAGAGAGAGTGTTAGTGGAACATTGGTCCTTCATGAAAACTGTGTCTGCAGCTGTGAGGATAAAAAAAAAACGGTATACTTGGTTTATATTCTTCGTCTCGAATCAGATTCGTCCAGGTATAACTTCATTCTGTACTGATAGGCCCATAACTCGTACACGTGTTTTTGGTGTGTAAGAAGCACTAAATACAAGTTTGGAAAGTCTTTCAAAAGTAAACAAGTAGACAGGTCTCTGTTCCCATGATAAACCCAACTACCTTGGATTTCTAATGTGTAAAATGTAGTTATATATATTCAACTCCAATACATGACAGCTATAGCTACGGGTTTCATGAAAAGATGTAACATACACAAATGAATGCTTAGTACATACAATATTAGAATTAGAATACAAGATGGATCCAAACAACAACTTGTGCATCAAAACCGTTAAAATGCTATTTCATGAAGACAATAAGTTATGGTTTTATATATCACTGGTTGTTTTCAGTGTTGTTTTATTAAAACTTATGTATACAAGTACATTTAACATATGCTTAAATGTTAAGATATACTACTTAAGACCTTATACATATTGTTAACCCTGGTAAAGGCATTTGTTCAAAACTGATTGTTGTTTTGGCTAAAAGATGATGAGTAAAATAAAGAATAGAAATGCTGCTTTCAAGAATGAGAAATAATAATACAAGTAGGATGCTGCCTTCAATTAAGACACAGTAACTTCTTTATCTTGTAAACATTTGACTTTATGTTGCCTTCAGGTCATGTTGTATATTTCTGCTTTCCTAAAGTGGCCTTTTATTTTTCGATTAGCCCAAATAAATGAAATGATTCATGCATTTTATTTGCTGAGTACAAACTTTCCCGAACTTATTACACGTGTTTTTTTTTCGTGTTAAGAACAAAAAAAGTACTATGTGTTCAACAGATACCGTTTGTTGTTGTGCTACATTAGATAAGCAGTTGCGGTTTCCGGGAAACAGTGAAGGCATTGTATCTCTCTCTAATCCAGTAAAACGAAACTGAAAGTTAGCAGCGGAAAACTCAACTAAAAATATGTTTTTACCATCCAGTCTATGTTTTTTACTAATCAAATATTACACCAACATAGTACATATTAACTAAACTAAATAACAAAAGTTAATATATGTTCCTTTGCACTTTTATTTTTAAATTACACCGCGTGTCAGGGACAAAAACATGGACTTCAAATTCGAAATACTGAGTAGGATTTTGATCATAACTCACTATTGAGGCTCCCGGTTGTTCGCAGGTGTGTTCCGGGCTTCAGGGTCCTCTCTTCCGGGGTCTACAGGTGTCTGATCACCCCCAGATGTTCCAGATGTTTCAGGTGTTCCAGGTGCGGTTCTCCCGGGGTTCTGCTGGTTCCTGTAGTCCCTCTGGTTCTGATAAGGATCCATGTCTGTCTCTCAGAACAGATGGTAAACAGGAACAGGGTCACTGAGATGCTGTTCTGTAGATTCAACTAACCTGTTATGTGTTTACTGCACATACAGCGGGGGGAGGGATTAATGGAACAGCGCCTTCTGCTGGAAGAACAGGGGGATGGAGGTGTTCATTTAAAGGCCCAGTCTGTCAATTTGTGGACAGAAATCATTTATCTTATACTTTTCATTTTGTATTTGTTATTATTATTACTACTATATATGTATGTGTATTTGTATTTCCCTTTTATTTGATGTGTCTCATTGTAATGACGCCACACCTCAGGCCATTATGATTATAATGTATTATTCTTATTCATTTTCTCTCTGTGCTTGTAGTTAAGTAATTGATATGTAAACTGAGATACATAGATATCTTGCTACATGAATAAAGTGAGATTATTGTCACCCATGGAGAGATGTATGCATACTTGTCAACCCTCCCGATTTTATTGCCCTCTCCCGGTTTCCTCCCGTGGGCATATTTCTCCCGATTTCTGACAAAATCAGATTTACTCAGGACTGTTTCCACTCGGACTTTAATACAGCTACACCATTGTTTGGTTTCCATGGTAACGTCTCTTTAGTAGAGCGTGCAACTGAAAGTCTGACAGGGTGAGGCAGATAGTCACAGAAAACAGAACAATATCGACAACTACTCTACTCTCTGCTCACTCCTTTCCTGCCCACACATATGCTCCATCAAGGATGGTGCTACAGGCTGCACTTAGAATTGCAATAAGCATGTTAATGTTAATCTAACAGCTCCGGCGATAAACTAGCACCCCGCCTGAGACTGCCAAGGCACACNCCCCCCCCCCATTTTGCATTTTGAAATGCTCCCGATTTCTGAGGTCTCAAGGTTGGCAAGTATGGATGTATGTTATATGTGCAGTAACTATTCTGCACACATTGGTATGCGGGTGTATGTTGTGTATGTATGTTATGTCTGAATGTTTACAAAAATGACAATAAAAAGGGTATTAAAAAAAAAAGAAATAATCTATATTCAAATCTAAAAATAAACATGTTTTTTTCCAACTCATCTAATTTTCTTATCTTAGGTTTTACCAGTTGTTGAGTTCCTGAGCTGATCACGTGATATCATTAACCTTTATTTGATACCTCATTAAGAATACACATTTACTTCATTCATGTTAACATTAAGTTCATTCATTTGCAATACTGTCCACCACAAAGCCCCCTATAACTTAGACGTAGATTTTTATTTTACTGTTACTTGCATTCTTTAGTTTTTCAATTTTTTGTATACATATTGAATGAGCGTTGTTGGCTAAGATCTAATATTTTAAAAGACCTCTTCTCGGTAATTGTTGTGCACATCGTTTCATATTTTGTGACTGAAATTAACTGTTTGAATATCCATCCCTCCATCTAAATAAGTTTAAAAAAAACATTTTTCAGTCAAACGAATTGCTGTTTGACATCAGGTCTAGTCCATTCATGAAAATATGTATTGAACAATATGAATGATATCAGGTTTCTCTCCTGGTGTTCTGCATATTGGTGCTGTGATAACTCTTGTTTACATCTAAAACGTATGGTAATATAAGTACATTAATTTCTAAGCAGTACATTTAAAGAAATTCCAGCTTCTTTTCTGTTCTTTAAAACAGTCACCTTGAGCTCTGAGATTTTACACAAGATAAAGACAAGACGATTAATTTGAGAGAGTAAATTAACGAGCAGATACATTTTGAGTTGCACCCCTTAACGACATCAGCACACACACAAAGAAAAAGAATAACACGTGCATTATTTCTTCAAAAACTCATTTATTAAGAGTTATATTCTGACTTTGACATGATGATTTATTTGGCAGGTTATGGACATACTGTACGGACGCACACACACAGGAAGGACAAATAAATACACCTCCAACAACTGACTAGTGAAGTTTAATAGCAGTATAAAATCTAAAAGCAATGTGTCTGTTAGCAGGCTGTGTGAGAAGAGTTGTTGTCCGTATGTTGTGCTGCAGAACAGTTAAACGTCATCGTGTGCACGTCCGTTTTCATGAGAGGAAACCAGGCCGAAAGTGTTGCTCGATGTACCGTTAAAACACAGCATGACAAATGAGAATGGATCGATGAATTTGACACTAAACGAGTAAGGCAGTGAGGGTGGAGAGGCTCCCTCACACACATTCTGTCACCAACAAATATTGACAACACACTCACAGGGGGACCTAGTGCATTCTGGGTAAAGACACTGGGTCCTTCACCCGGTGTCAGTCCTAATGTTTACTGTCTACTAGTTATGCGTTAACAGGGATGAAGGCCTACAGTAAACTCCTCTCCCTTCTGGACCACAAACCGTCATCCATTAGACCCAAGGTTCCCATCTTAAGTCTGTAGATCTCTCAGGGCAAAGTCCTTCGTCTTCAGTCTTAACTCCTGTGTTTGAATGTGTGTGTGTGTGTG